ATATATTTATGTTTATATTTCTTAAATTTATTTTATTTATTTATTTACATGCATAGACAAGTATTACAATTAAAAAAATTAAAAAATTAAATTAATTAATTATATTAGAAAGCTTAAAAGTATTTAAACTTTTGATATATTAATTTTAATAATTACTTTATTAATGAAGTTTACCTGAATATAGGAGGGCCAAGGATTAAGTTCCAATACAGATTTCTCTATTGGAGCATGTTTCTTTTTCAGTGCCTTCATTGATTTCGCCTGAAAACAAAGTATTTGAAATAAAAAACCGTTCGAATTTGAATGACAATTTTCAATGACGCGAAGGATTGTTGCGTGTCAGATGAGCGTATGATGTTATACATCAGGCGACACTTGGCGTGAAACAATGCTCATAGGTTACGTCAGATTATCGATCTTGACGTCAATGGTTGGTTACATGTTACAAACAAAAGACATGTTCTAACATAATTTTATTGTTAGACAATAGAGTAACAATGAATTTAAGAGCTACAGCATAATAATAGCATAAAAGGGAATCAAACAGACAAGAAAAAAACATCTTAACCAACCCGAACATGTGTCCACTTAGTACCACTATAAACAGTCCTACAAATGTGAAAACGTAAACTCGTTTGCATAGTTTAACGATATTCAAAAAACGTGAGAAGTACAAGTCGTATGTAAAGTTGGGAGATTCATGCCTTATCCTCCGTCAAGGTCAGATTTTGCATATCGGCTACCACGTTGTCGCCCATGTTAGAAGTATCACGCGATCGGTGATCAGGCCGCCGGTTCAAAACTGAATCCAACTTATCCAACTAAATCTCGCAATAGTGAATACTGTGAGTAGTCGCAGTACGTGAATTCAGAATCCTCTCACTGGCCTAGTTTTCACCGAGGTTTAAATCGGATATAAAATAGAATATAAAAACCAACCAATTACAATCGAACAGAGGAATGCTTGATTGTAGTTGGTTGATTTTATTAATTTATTGTAGACCACTAAAGCATGGTCTACAATAAATTGACAACATACCGTTGCAATGCTCACGACAGCCAATCAGAAGCATCACTAATTATTATTGACGTTTTTGATTGGCTGTTGCGGAGCATTGTGACAGGCGACTGAGTGTTTGCAACTTATTGGCTGTGTCAACACAACAATTTTATAATTGTTTTATGATTCTCTGTTGAGATAGGACCATTCGTCTTGATTTAAAAACATAACCCAATCAGCGTAAAGAAAACTCCTACATTGCTAAATAAACGTTCTGCTGAACGCAGCCATTGTAAATCACGTTTTAGCGCTCAGTGTGCTCTTTTATTTGATTGATTTATATTTTAGAATCTAACGGAATATGTCATTCTGAATACACGCATTGGCTGCGTTCAGCAGACTGAATAGTTGAGTAAGCAATGATGTATTCTAATTGATATAAAATTCTAATTGGACAATCTAAAAGAATACACCAATACTAAAAGGTACAACAATAATAGCGAAAGCTCATTCTATTATTGAGTCCATGAATACGCCCATTGTCGCGCAACCCACAATGAAACGCGATTAAATTATTATTATTTTATGTATGTGTGTGTGTGTGTGTGTGTGGAATATATATATATATATATATATATATATATGTATAAAATTACTTACATCATCTAACAATTCCAATTCATAATCATATACTCCTGCACCTCCATAGATACCAACACCCGCTATAAGAATGCCTGGTCTATCGACGGAAAAGCAAATAGCATCTGGAGAACCATTACCCGTATTCCATGATCTTGACTGATTTGTTCTCGTAAATCTTGAAGGTGTTGTATACATGAGTCTACCGCAAGCTGCTTGCAATTCATCTTCATTTCCGCTCGATTGTGCCGCCAATTCGGCGATAACTCGCGCTAATAAATAACAGCAATGAAGAACCAATTCTGGCAGAGACTGAGTCTTTTCT